TTCCTCTTAGATGACATGATGGAAGCTAGATAAGTAATCGAGAAAATTATTGTGAGATATTAAATTTCTAAGATTATCTTCCATTTTAAATGATATATAAACTACACAGTTGACCATTATTGTTTACCTAAAATATGCAATTATATGCTCTCAGCCGTTATAGTAATAATCTTAAATTACATAGTAACACAAATAATAGATGCTGGTTAATATGCAGTAATAGCCATGACACTCACGATGTAAACTAATATTAGAATTTATTATGTTGGATAAATTGATAAAATAAAAATACTAAAAATCTTTGGAAGAAATAATTATTCAAATATATTGAAGCCTGGAGTTTTATTTACACGGCAATGCCATATTAGAAATGAAACATTTTCTAACTATAAAATAAGGACCAGAATGATATGATCAAACAATTAAGATTTTATATAAAATCGCACCACCTTGGTATATTATATATTAAAATAATAGTAGTTTGTAATAATATCAAAAATATACTTGTATTAAAAATTTAACTCAAGAATGTTTTTCAAAAATGAAAAAAATAGCTTTCCTAAAAATAGGCAAAAAAGAGAAGAAAAGATATCAAATTTATTACATCTATTGCAGGATGAATAATAAGGGTTTAATTGATTTAATTATATATAACTAAATAGATGGCGTTAAATACTTGAATGCAATTTGTTATTATATTTATTATCAAAACCATTTAGTAGTAAAATTTATTATAATATTAACTGTAACATATTATATAACTGTCAAATACGTCTATAAAAGTGGCTTTATATCTAATATTTTATAAACAACTGTTTATAGTAGAGGATTATAAACTATATGTTTACTTACTTTTTATAAAGAAATGTCTTATACTTATTTGGACCTTGAAAATATTTTTAAGGTATGATAATATAATTTCAAAATAAATATACAGTTGATTAGTAATTTTGAACTCGGCACAATATTAAATTTGTTAATTTCAAATAATATATGATTATATTTATTTAATTAGGGTTAAATAAAAATTTAAATAATAAAAGTCAATTAAATTTCAACTGGCAAAGCTAAATTAATATTTAGTGAGTTATTGATATTATATTTTTAATACAGAATTTGATTGCAAGCTAACATAGTGAAAATATAATTTATATGTATTAATCTAATCTAATAATTAAAATAATATTCATTTAATAAAAATTTAAATAGTATTATTAATTTCTAAATAATAAAATTATATTTAAATATTACTTAATGGAATTATAAAAGAAATCATTTTCAGTGGGCAATCAAAAAAATTTATTTTTAGTTCAAGGGGATATTAAGGAGCCATTAAAAAAAAATTTTTGCTTCAGGGGGCTATTCAAATTTTTCAGGGGGCTCGAGCCCCTATGCGCCCCTCCCCCCCCCTAGCGACGCCACTGACTCTAATAAATTTTTAATAAACATATTATAATTTTTAAACTTGAAAGCTTTTATATAATTTCTAGCATTGTCGGTAATGCATTTGGTTACTTTATTTTGTATCTTATATGTGGTAAAAATTTCAAAGATTATTTTTGCTAAATAAACAAATGTGTGTTTTTGGGTTAGAAGCTCTGAAACCCTCTCAAGAGTGTTTGGGTGTAGCCAATGAACCTCATCCCTAAATAAGAACTTTTTTAAAAGACAATATTATCAATTTATAAAATCCGATGATGAGCTGATCAAGATTCTACAGTTGAATAGACAATTTTTGGGGTACACAATAAATTCACTAATTTATTTGCCATTAATTTTTAATACCAGGGTATGATAAGACATCACATTTTTAGTTAGCTACAATTTTTTGATAATATTAATAAATGCAATGTTTTCTACAATTGAAAATAGTTGTAATTCTTAAATTACAAAATTAAAAACTAATTTATCAGCAGCTGATTGTGCTATTTTTGTAATTGATTTAGAGATGAATTCTGCATCTCAATGAGTGAGATGATTGGCTTAAAATTTGTTTATTACTATTCAAATGTTAACTAATCTCTTTCATTTTTGAGGAATGTCTATAATTTTTTAATCAAAATGTTTAATTCCTGCATTTTTTATTAAATTGAAGAGAAATCTTTTAAAAATTTAATTGCTTTTAATTCCTCACTAAGCTTATTGTCAAGGAAAACATTAAAAATTGAAATTATGATTGTCAAATATAATTTTTCAGTTTTATATTCATAATTCTGATATATTATTTAAAGGAATCAGGCAAAATATCCAGGTTCAGTTCTCTAAAACAATATTGCTTTAGTTTTATTCCATATAACTATTTATTTAAAAATACATATTTATTTAAACAAAATTTTTTAAAATCACTATTTTATTCTTTAAATTTATTAATAATTTGAAGTTAAATTAATAGCAACAAAAGTAATTTTAAGTATATAATAAAATATGATTTTCTTTTTTTAATATTTTTTTAAGAAAAAATTTTAAGTAACGTTTTGCGTTATTGTTACTCAAAAAAAAAGAAACGCGTTACCGTTACTCGTTACCTCTAGAAGAAGTTAACGAATGGCGTTTCTTTTCTTCAAAAAAGGTAATGAAGTTATTAAAGACGTTACTTTACAGCACTAAATTTTACAAGTTTTATTTTATTTACAAACGAATTAAAAAATATGGAAATGTTTTGAAATTTGCACAATACTGTATTGTATCTATTCATAGACTTATATTAACAGACTGCTCAACGCTCAGTTATATGTTATATTCATTTGGCAGCCATTTGTAAAATAGCGATTATTATCATATGCATTAATTTTAATAAATCTTATGTTCAGCATAAAAAAAGGATGTATTTTGTCACAAGTAATTAATAGTTAATGAAATATATGTAATAGCATTTATTTATATATTTTTCTGTTTTTATTAAATTACATTCTGAAATTTTTAAACCTTTAACAATCTTTATATATTAAAAAATAAGTTAAATTTGAATGTTATAATATATAATATCATGAGTAAAAAAAATAATTCAATAATTGTAATTAATTTCTGTAACATACATATTTTTTACTATTTTTTAATTTACAAACATAATGTTAATATCTCTGACTTCTTTTTTAAAATTATTTTTATTCTTGATCACTTTATTTCTATATAGAATAAGATGTGGCTTTGAATCAAAATGATGATTATTTTTTTTAATTATCTAGGTTTCTAATTAACAATAAGGCTCTTTTAAGTAGAAGCCATGCAGTTTAAAGAGAAATATTTAAACCAAACAAATACTCATGTCTATGTAGCACAGATTTTTTAAAAGAATCTTTTTATTCAACATCTACAAATTATCATAATCCTGCTAATTTTAATTCATCAATTAAATAAATGTTTTTATAGGATTTTTAAATTCTACCATTAACAAAATATCTACGAGCTAAATCTAAATCTTATATATGTGGCAATTTCAATTGATTGTTCATAAAGAAGCATATCCACTGGGATGGTAAACAATACCATGGGTCTGAATACTAGGGCGCCGATATTTAGCGTTTTCCAAAATATCGGATCGGGCCGATACCTGTAAAACCCGATCCGATCTAATTATTTTTCTTTTTTTTTGTTATTTATTATATTTTCTAAATAATTTTTTTTTTAAACAATGCAAATGCACAACACCATCTAAATTTTATTTCGTCTTTTAAATAGATTTCTAGTATTTTAAAAGTTTTTTTATAAAAATAGAAAGGAACAACCAAAATTTTATTTATTTTAAATCTTTTTAAATAGTAACGCCAATTTTATTATTTATATAAATAAAAGAATTTTTTAAATATAATATCTGAATTATGGAAATATTTTTCAAAAGATAAAGATAATTTTGCAAAATGCATTATCTGCGGAATCAGAGTCTGCCTTCAGTACGGCAGGGGATATAGATAATCCATATCTTAGAAGCTTATTGCCAGAAAATCTAGAGGATTTTATCAAAGACCTGCAGGCCCAGCCCTGCCGGGCGTATATTTTAAAACCAAATATTTGAAATCACCACTATTAGCTAAAAATCAAAAAAAAAATAAAATATATTTTAAAAAAAATCTAGGCAGGGCATGAAATTTTTTTTAAAAAAAAGCCGGGCAGGCCCTTAAAATATAAAACTCGGGCCAGGCAGGGCCTTAAAAAATTTTTGGAAAAAAAATCCGGGCCGGGCAGTTCAAATGGTACCTCTGCAGGTCTCAGGATATATTTATTTTAAAAATTCTAATATATTATAATTTTATATATTAAATATTACAATTTTATATATTAATTATTACAATTTTATAATTCATACCAACATAAAATGGATATATTATGAAATATATTTTTTTATTATAGTCTTAATTGTAGAAAAAAATAATAATTAAATGCATTATTCGATTTTTTGAATAAAAAATATTGATTTCTTAATTACATTTGGTTCAAGGGGGGAAGTAATAAAATCAGTATAAATAGCGGATAGGATCGGTGAAAAATATATGGTTCGGCACAGCTCTACTGAATACATTTAAAAAAAATTAAAGAATGTTTTTTACAATGTCATAAGAAATTTTTATTAATTCAAAATGCGATACTATATTATGCTTACAATTAATTGTAAGAATATGTATAAATTTTCTTTAATTATTAATTTGAATGAATTCAAGCATTAATAAAAGATATCGTTGATTTTTATGATATTGATTATTATTATAAAATCTATGAATCTACATTTAAACGAAATGTAATATATATTTTAAAAAAATCTAGGCCGGACCGTGCAAATGTTACTTCTGTAGTTCTGCCTAATTAGGGATAAGTTTGCCTCTCCTGATATTCTTCTTTTCCCTTTTAAAACAGTAAATTCTAAGTAATTATTTATTTAATAATAAAGAGGCACCTTAGCCCCCCCCCCCTGAGGAAAAAATGTTCGAATATTACATGACTAACAATTAATATATGAAGGTATCGAAATCGTGTTTTAGGGCAAATTTTATAAATCCCAAGTAAAATTGATAATTTTATGCAAATAAATACCCATAATTCTCCATCTTTCTGTATTAATTTTATTTACAAAATATAAAAATTAGTGAATAAATTAACAATAATATGTAAACTTATTAAAAAAATAAAATCGATCAGTATATTTAAAAAAATTTATTTAGGCGGCCAAGTGTTATTCAAAATATCTCTCTCTTTTGGCCCATGCTCCAAATCAACAAACCAGGGGTTATCGTTTGAACTGTATTTGGCTAAAGGGTAATCGTAAGGCAAATACATTCGAGGTATTTGTTTGATCTCATTATTTATATAACTTCCCGATAAGTTAAAATAATCTTGATCAAGGATTCCACAAAATTTTGGTAAAAATAAAACTCCCAACTCGTAAGATCTTATAGCTAATTGCGTGTTGTTCTTTTCTAGGGTTCCCCACGCGGCTTTTGAAAGATTAGCGCTAAGTTTTATTTTATTTATTTTTTCAAATGAAAAAAAATTAAATTATTAATCATGTCAAAGAGAATTATATTATACATATGATGTATTGCAGATATATTCATTGGATCGTTTCATGATTTGAATCAGAAAAAAGGCCTGACAAGAATGAGGAAAAAGTATTAATATTCTGACCCCGCTCATAATTTAAATCCTTTTTCGATACTTTTACCGACATTAGTTTGTTTTCAAAAAATTAATTTTAAGACCCGGGTTACTAATTTAAGAATAAGAAAGTATACATATTAGATAAATAAAATATTTAAAAAAAAGAGTTGTCAGTTATTCAACTCTTTTCTAGGTAGAATATTCACGGTCATGCAATAGGCGTAACTATATTTTAGAACTTGGGAATGTTTTGAAATTATCAATTTTGATCATTGTAATTATTGAATCACGCGGCATTATTTTTAAATTTTGAATAAATTCCATAAATAACAGGAAAAAAATATGTATTTGTAAACACTTGGAAGCACAAATTCTAAAATCTATGCCAATGTTTCCTGCTTCATTAGTTGAGTGTTTTAACAAGTATAGTCGCCTATATAAAAGGAAAAAATTATTAGCAAAAATTTTTGCCCAACTTTACTATTAATAAAGCTCCTGAGAATATTCTGAAAATTTTATCAATTGTCTGGTGCTTAATCGTATATTATTTTTATTCGTTTGGTAAAATTTTATAAACAAGAAAAAGTTTCAAATTGGCATCATGTCAGAATGAAATATATATATAGGAACTAAATATCGAGTACTTATAAATTCTCAATCAGTTTTACGAACCACAAAAATGAAACCAAGTTATAAAACAAAATCAAAACTATGACGTCATGCTTTAAGCGTAAAGTGAACAGAGTTGCCAGGTAAAAATTTTTAAATTGTGGATAAATTTTTGTTATATATTTTTTATATGGTGGTCCCCTTATGCGGGCCTTAAGCCATCAATCGGTCATATCTTCAATTTTTTTATACATATTTTATTATATGTATATTTAATTATTGTCTATGTATAATTTTAAATAACTATAATCAAATTAAAAATTTGTTTATTCATTATAAAAATAAGTAACACAACTATATTGTATATGTTTTAGTGTTTATTTTAAAAATAACAAACTATGAGTATAGGGTGTACTGACTCTTCTCCTAGAGCCATTCCGCCTAAAATTGCCAAGACTAATTTTGATATTAAAGCAAATTTAATGGAAAATGAGAAAATTTAAGTCAATGAGCATGTAAGAGCAAATATGCATAAAGTTGTTTCTTATAAAAGTTCCGAAAGATCAAATTTTATAATAAATGGATAAATTCTGATAAGTGAGAAGTTATCGGACAGAATATTTAATGAATTGAATTAAAATTTTTAATAAGAAAAACTTAAAACAATATATCTAAATTTATCTAAATATAGATATCTCGAAAAACATCTAAATATACCTTCAACATTTTTGTATCTTGATGTTAATAACTCTGCAAATGAACAAATGTAATAGAAAATTAACATAATTCCAACAAAATTAATTAAGTGAGCAACAAAATCTATAATAAATAGCCAATTAGCATTATAGCTGTTTCACCTATTTATTCCTAAACTTTAATATTAAATATATTCCCATTTAATATCAAGTTTATTCATTTGGAAAAATGAGGCAAAATATTTTAAATGAAACGTCTACATACAAAACGCACTCTAAACAAGCATTAAGTTCGGTTTTCACGTTCGTTCAATTAAAAAAGTAGCATACTTAATTTTTGAGGGTCATGTGAAATAATTACATCCCCCGAATATTATTCACATGTGGATCATATTTTAATGATTTTGCCTTTTACTTATGATGATGTAGGAGGAAGTACTATCTAAGGAAAATTTTTCATAATCCATAAATCTAAAGGATGTTTTTTGAAATAAAATCTCAAAACCTGATAAAACAAAACTTACTATCTAAACAGGGATACAAACTTACCCTGAATCATATAGTTAAACTGGTATTAAACTCTATTATTTAAAGGATCTGAATCGAACCTCAACAGTTAAAAGATTAGCCATCCGAACCTAAACCAAACCAAGGTCTGGTCTAAATCTTTTGATATACTAATTCTTTTAAAAAATATTAATATTTGTATATTGCTATTTGACTGTGCCAACTACCCAGGTTAACTTATTCTCAGCCATTTATCTATTCTTTCTCCTTATAAATATAATTTGAGAATATTAAAAATATTTTAATATATTTAATCTTATTATTTTTGGAATAGAGAAAATTTTAAAAGATGCGCTGTTCTTTACATATTTCTAATTAGGTTGTATGGAAAAAAAAATCAACCCGTTTTTAAAGTATCAAACCGAAACGATATTATTATTTCTTTAAGACCCAACCCAGAACTTTTATTTTTGTCTAAACCGAATTGATATTCGTTACGGTTCGTATCCCTGGATTAAAAAAAATAGTTGATTTTCTTTATTTCAATTTATAATCAATAAAAAGAAAATAATGCAACATAATTTGGACACTTTTTGGTTTATAAATTTTTATCTTAAAAAATTTATTTTTGAATAAAAATCTTGTGGAAATTAAATTGCGGTAGATATTGTGGAAGTTTGGTCAATATGGTATATTTCATTTTATTTTGCGGTACTCTCCCATTTACTGAGGGTGACCAGGCAGCCCAGATTTTGGAAACACTAACTCTGAAAATTATACCAAACCATTAAGTAGAGCTTAATTAGTACATATTATTGCTTTAATCTCTTTAGTAGATGGTTAAAGGGTAAAAAAAAATTATGGCAAAAATTGGTTATGCCAAAACGGATAACATACATAAGTTCTAAATATCTGGTTTACGTGAATATTTATTACTTTACTTATTAATTTTAAATCAATTTTACTACGAAATAAAGTAATTGGTGCCTTACTTATTAATTCTTTAAATATTTCACCTTTTTCCTTATAAATTTAAAATTTGTTTTGGATTATATTTTATTTCATAAAAAATTAGAATCGGGTATTGGTGAATGGCCTAAGGTGATATGGATGCAATATAAATTTAAGAAAAAACTATCGAAATTATTATAACTCTTTTGGCTTGTATCATATTAAATATTTTTCCCAATATCAAAATTAATTTATTAAAACCTTGTCAATAAAAGCCAACGCAATTTCGTTCCATCTTCACTGATTCTAGCATACGTTTTGATATGCGGCGAGGCCCTGGAGCGCCCTAAAGCATTCGATTTCCACTCGCACATATGATCCGAAAGATATTTTTGTTTTGAGTGAGTTTGATTTGAGTAAGGTATAGATCCCCCAGCTATATAACCTTCAAAACTATTTTTAACGTTTTCCAAAGTTGGAAAAACCTAGAAAAAAATACCATTTTTAGGTCAGCGTATTTATGATTAAATCTAAATATCATCATTGTGTTGTATGTATATATTAAATTCTACATAAATTTGAATATACATTTTCTCAAATACGCTCCTTTATTTTAAAATTTCAAATCGAGTCGGGCAGGACTTGGCAAAATTTTCAATTATTTTGTTTTTCTTATGCTTTTATAGATATTATTCTATTATAGTAAAACACAAATAAATTATTTTCCTCTGGCACTTATAAATATTTCTTCTTATTTGTAAATCCCCAGCTTACAGAGGAAGGTATGGAAGTGAATACCCTCCATAAATTATAGGTAATGTGGAGGGTAGTGATATGTTTACCCTGCTAGAAGAAAAATTATAAGGCCCATTCTGAGTGCTTGCATCAATATCATTTTTGGCGGATGTTTAAAATTATATCTTAATTTTTTTTTCGTCTTCAAGAAGGAATAAATATATTTAATTGTTTTTATGACTTTATGATGAAAATTGTTTGTTATTTTGAAATAAATTGAAGATCTTTTATTCTGTATTAATCCCCCCTTCTGAAATTTGTATGTTCTACGAAATATCATTTTAAACTAATAGACCCCCCCCCTTACACACCCCTTCCTCTCCTCCCAAAATGTATACAATATATAACCAAGGATTTGAAAGAAAAATCAGTAAAAGTTAATAACTTTTTAATATAATGACTATAATTCAATTTTTTTTATAAAAAAAGGAATATTAATTTTAAAAAAAAGTGAAAGACCATAATTATTATGATAAAAATCTAACATTGCCAAATGCCTACAATAAGTGAAACTAACCTCCAATAAATTTATGGAGAAAAAACATACCTAATAGTGCTTCCTCACCCCTCAGCAAAATCTTAACTATGCCTACATGGTATCTTTCCCATTGACAAAACTGATTGGAAAAATTATGAAAATTCTATAGTCCAGTTCACATATATTAATTTGACCCTAATTAATTTATTAGACAAAATTTTCTTTACATTAAATAAATATAATGTATACTTTTAAAGCTATGATTCAAATATTTTTGAAAAATAAATAGATATTTGGATAAAGAAACACATGGAAAAAAATAACAAGTATGTTACCACATTTAAAGGAGGGTAAATTAAGTATAAAATTATTTACCAAATGAAATGAATCATTCTTAGCTGTTGTGTTTTGTAAATGTTGTGGTTTATAATTTTTATCAAAAAATTTTTTTGTGGTGCTTTCAATTTGTAGTAAGGAGCCTAAAAATTCATTGCACAACCATGATTCTTTTTTACTTCCTAAAGAGCCAATGCTAGAGCATTGACCTATAATTATATCCTTCTTGTCATCTTTAGGACCATGTTTACTTAAGATATTTCGTAATTTTAAATGTCCCCATTCATTTATATTTTTTCCAATGTGTCTGCCTGGAACAGATGCCACTAATTTAACATTAGCTAAAGACATATCATGGGATTGGATATGATTTTCCCAAGCTGAAAATTTAAGTAATATAATGAATTTATATTTTTAATGACTTTTTAACTTTGGAGACTGGTATGAAGCAAGATATGCAAGCAAATCTTTTTTAAAATCAAAATCGTCACAAGATTTTTTATCCTTCTGGATAGGGAACTTGGGACTTATCCAAAAACCTTGTGTTTTTGCATCCCAATCTTCTTGTATCATATTTGCTGATATATATATATAATAAAGCTGTTGTTTAAAAAGAAACCTGTAAGTATAATGACTCTCAATCCATCCTTGTATAAAATAAAAATCATTTTGGTGTGATGGGTGCCAAATGGTATATTAAGTTTAGCTTGAACAAAATTTATGTTACTGTACATTTTACTGCTGTTTTCTAGCATTTCTTTATCATTCCCTTTAAAACCATGAATAATTAATATAGGCTTATTCCTATATAAATCTATATATCTTTAAATAAATAAAATATACTTATTTTCATCAGGATATTGGCTTGTAAGCCAATTTATATCAATACAATAATTAAAATGTGCTGAAGAAACATACTCTTCTTTATTCATACTTAGAATATCCTTTAAATACATAGCATTAACATTAAACATATCTGGTATTTTAATTTTATTCGTATAATATAAACATCTTTCTGATTCTTTAACTCTTTCAGACGTATCTAAAATTTTTTGTTTTTTTGAGTCTTGAGTAAAAAGCTGACCCGCTCTTTTCCCCATAATAAGAAAATTTTGGTTTTTAAATAATATCAGACATATGCTTTTAATAAATATACTCAAGCAGTGTAATTAAAAGAGAATTGACAGATAGAGTGAGAAATGACAAGTATATTAAGAATGGATTGGTGTAGTGTTGTTAAACGGCTCGTTTTGAGCCGATTTTTAAAAACGGCTAATTCAATATTTTAGCCAGAAAAATATTGTCTAAGCCTCGAGATTTCGGTAATAGATGTCCAAACCATTGTTCCTTCTACAAACAAAATCTTCAGGCTTTCGTATTACTATTCTGAACGAAATATTGAGTTAGCCGTTTTTAAAAATCGGCTCAAAACGAGTTTAACAACACTAGATTGGTGTATTAAATTTAAGACATTAATTTTTTAAAAGTAGATTTAAAATAATAGTTGTTTATCTTCTATAAAAAATATTATACATAGCCAAATATATAAGATTTTCATGGTTTTTAGATTTAATAAAAAAAATCACCTTAAAGAATATAAGGCTTGGGGACTTTTAAGCAACTATTTTATTAAGTTTGCGAGGCGATATATACATTTAAAGCGTATTAAACTATAGAAAAGTACACTCCCCCCCCCATATAAGAGCTACAAAAAATTATAAACAAATTTAAATATTTACAATATAAATAAATAAAAAAGATAAAAAAAAAAATTGAATAAAATAAATTATATTCCAAATTTACATATTTATTCATTTGTTCTTTTATTAGGAAAAGGATAGCGTAACTAATGAGAAATTCGACTTTATATGTTTTGTATATTATTTATCGCTAGTGAATATTTTGTTTATTATAACTTCATTATAAATCAAACAATGCTAATCCATTAACCAAAAAAATAGGCATTTAATAAATTATCTATCAAAGTAAAGGAGATGATAAATTGACTGATTATCTTAAAAAATTGTCATCTCTTACTTTGACAAGATCAAAAAAAATGTTACAGTTTAAATATATAGATATTTGGAATATAATAGCAGGAAGGCCATTATATAGCACAATGTTTTCTACGTATTAATCTTAATTTAAAGGGTATTATCAAGGGAAAAAAACGATTATGAAATTATAGCAGAAAATGTTTTAATTTAAATTATGTGATATAATTACATTTATTTCATCAAAGCGCGATAGGAATCTGTTTCTAAATAATTTAATCTTATCTATGGGATAACCTTATTTGCAAAATTAGATATTGATAGAATTGTTAAAGGATCAGAGATTTTGGATTCGATCCTAATTTTGGCAATTTACCCAGATTTACGATTTCCTCTTAAATTTAGAATGAAATCAATTTGTTAATATTCGATCCTTTTATAAATTTATTTTTTTACTTAGAAAGTATATAAATAAATAAAAAAATGTAAAATAATTTATTTTTTGAATATCTCTCAGCATCCTCAGTCATTTTTATATTTTTCTCATAAATTATATCAAGACAACATTTGCGAATTTGATATAACAACCTCAAGTTTTATATATTGAATTAAATATAAAATAAATTATTTGTATATGTTTACTAATGTCTATTGTAGATCCAGAAGAAAATTACATAGAGTTTTTGTAGGGATAGAAGGAAATTAGAACCTTTTATTTTTTCCTCAGCTGCGATAATAATTTTAATTAAGATTCTTAAATATAGATTTCGTGAGAGCAACAGCATATTAGCGGCAATAATTCACCCATAATTTAACCTTAATTGGCCTCATATCAATCTTCCAGAATCTGTTGCCAGGTCAATTATCCATTTGGAAAACTGCAGAATCAACCATATGTAGATTCTTCAAATAATTTTATAGAAAAAAATTAATATTGGAAAAAATTTTTGGCAAATCCTAATTATTATTTTTTTATCAAATGATGATTTAATTAATGTTTTACTTACTGATATAAATGAAAATACGCTAAATATGTTCTTAATGAAGGACGCGGATGTTGAATGATAATAATCTATAAATTATTTAAAGGTTAATCTTGATTATAAATAATTATATTAATATTGTTATATTATTCGATTACAATAAATTTAATTTAATTTAATTATTTTTATATTCGTTAATTTTTCATAGAGCATAATTATTTTCCGAAATCGTGATCGCGATCCTTTTTTTAAAAAAGGTTGATCCTGAATTTTGATTCCTTTTTTGAAAAGATAGTGATAGGAATTTGATCCTTTTAAAAGCGGTATGACTAAATACTGAATTGCTAAAATGAATTGCTAAAAAGCAATTAATCATAATCAATCAAAATTTTATTATGTATATTTTATTTAATGAAAATTTTTAAAACTTTTTTTAAAATATACTTAAATTATTTTTTTATTAAATGAAGGATACTAATTAAATATCATATAATATATAATTTTATTTTGAGTTAATATTATTATAAAAGAAATATTTTCATAGCTTATTAAAACATAAATAAATTTTTTTCAAATTTATAAATTAACAAATATATATCCGTAAGAGGGCGTTATATGCGTAAATATGTAAATATCATTTTAGGAAATCGGAATGATGATTGGATAGCGCTTTTTTTATATTTGAGTATATATACATATGAAAAACCTAAAAATAAAAAAAAAATTTAGGTTTCTTTGATGTTTAATCTATGAGTAGGTTTAGAATAGTAAAATAATGGAAATTTTCTAAGGTAAATATTGCTGGCGTTATTTATCAAAATCTCTTAACTTTTGTTTTATATGTGTATATTTACGTGCTAAGCATTATCCTAAAAAATTTTTTGAAAATAATTTGATTTGACCGATTGCCGAGCTTAAAACCGACCATTTACTAAATATTCGATTGACCAAATTTACTAGTAATACAATTTGAAAAATGTTGATTTTCGTTTTATATATCTATAAATACGTATAAAACATAATCTCAAAAAATATTTTTAAAATATCGCTATTTGGCGGATAACCGACTCGTAGCCCACCCAATGACTAAATAATGAATTGCTGGCGTTTTAAATCAAAATATCTTAATTTTTGTTTTATATGTGTATATTTACGTGCTAAGCATTATCCTAAAAAATTTTTTGAAAATAATTTGATTTGACCGATTGCCGAGCTCAAAACCGACCAATTACTAAATATTCGATTGACCAAATTTACTTGTAATACAATTTGAAAAATGTTGATTTTCGTTTTATGTATCTATAAATACGTATAAAACATAATCCCAAAAAATATTTTTAAAATATCGCTATTTGGCGGATAACCGACTCGTAGCCCACCCAATGACTAAATAATGAATTGCTGGCGTTTTAAATCAAAATATCTTAATTTTTGTTTTATATGTGTATATTTACGTGCTAAGCATTATCCTAAAAAATTTTTTGAAAATAATTTGATTTGACCGATTGCCGAGCTTAAAACCGACCATTTACTAAATATTCGATTGACCAAATTTACTAGTAATACAATTTGAAAAATGTTGATTTTCGTATTATATGTCTATAAATACGTGTAAAACATAATTCTAAAAAATATTTTTAGAATATCGCTATTTGGCGGATAAACGTTTCCTTTAACCTATAATAAAATTTTAAAATATATTATTAAATATATATTTTACCAAAATAAAAACTTTGAGAACAGATCAGACATTTTAATAGCAAAAATATGATTTATAATTATAAAACAATTTTAAATTTTAACGGCTATTATTTAAAAGTATTTATTTATTTATTTGTTTATTATTTTTTATATACTTCTAACTCAAATTTTTTTATTTTTAAAATAATGCCAAATATTTTTAAAATATTCAGGAAAATATAATAATTTCGAATATAAATAATAAAGGAAAATAAAAAAATATTAGAAAGAATATAATCATGGGGAGGGGGTTTAAACGCCCCTTTTTTGAATCTCAATTGCTTATCTCTTAGACAATTAAAATTATCTGAAATATTTGCACATAACACATTTTTAGAGAGTATTATAGATTTTATTTATTATATAAAAATAAAAATACTTTAGCATATAGTATTGCATAAATTTTAAGTGTTAATACAAAAATTATATAAATTTATAACTAAGAATTTATAGTAAATTTGGTCGAATATTTAGTAAGTGGTCGGTTTTGAGCTCGGCAATCGGTCAAATCAAATTATTTTCAAAAGATTTTTTAGGATAATGCTTAGCACGTAAATATACACATATAAAACAAAAATTAAGATATTTTGATTTAAAACGCCAGCAATTCAGTATTTAGTCATTGGGTGGGCTACGAGTCGGTTATCCGTCAAATAGAGATATTTTAAAAATATTTTTTGGGATTATGTTTTATACGTATTTATAGACTTATAAAACGAAAATCAACATTTTTCAAATTATATTACTAGTAAATTTGGTCAATCGAATATTTAGTAAGTGGTCGGTTTTGAGCTCGGCAATCGGTCAAATCAAATTATTTTCAAAAATTTTTTTAGGATAATGCTTAGCACGTAAATATACACATATAAAACAAAAATTAAGATATTTTGATTTAAAACGCCAGCAATTCAGTATTTAGTCATTGGGTGGGCTACGAGTCGGTTATCCGTCAAATCACGATATTTTTAAAATATTTTTAAGAATTATGTTTTACACGTATTTATAGACTTATAAAACAAAAATCAACATTTTTCAAATTATATTACTAGTAAATTTGGTCAATCGAATATTTAGTAAGTGGTCGGTTTTGAGCTCGGCAATCGGTCAAATCAAATTATTTTCAAAAATTTTTTTAGGATAATGCTTAGCACGTAAATATACACATATAAAACAAAAATTAAGATATTTTGTAAAATGCCAGCAATTCAGTATTTAGTCATTGGGTGGGCTACGAGTCGGTTATCCGCCAAATAGCGATATTTTAAAAATATTTTTTGAGATTATGTTTTATACGTATTTATAGATATATAAAACGAAAATCAAAATTTTTCAAATTGTATTACTAGTAAATTTGGTCAATCGAATATTTAGTAAGTAGTCGGTTTTAAGCTCGGCAATCGGTCAAATCAAATTATTTTCAAAAGATTTTTTAGGATAATGCTTAGCACGTAAATATTCACGTATAAAAC